ATCTAGGCGTCGCATGAGAGCCTAGCGCCTAGTCGGGGCCTAGGCGACCGCCTAGACCGCTTTTTAGAACACTGCCTGTACCATAGCAGACAAGTTACAGTTATTAATCTTCATGTACGTACATTTAAAATACTATATATAAATGTACGTACATGCCATACCTGGTCATCTTCCTCAGAGGAAGAGTTACCATCAGGAAGCTGAGTAATCTCAGCAACTGACGTCATTATATTATTCAGCCTTGAAGACTTTCTTGTTCCAGACTTGAAGACTTTCTTTGTAGACATCTTTTTAGATGCCTTCGTCACACTCATCGGTGCCTTAACCACCGATTTATTTGGGCCCTATGAAGCATGGGAAGTTTTGGTTGGTTCTGTCTTTTTGACCTTTGGAACTAAGGCAGCACGAATCTCCTTACGGACAAATTTCTTCAAGTCTTCTTGCATTTGTTTATTTTGTGCTTCCTGCCTCTTGAAACACCTCCTAAGTTCAACTACAAACTTCTCAAACTGGGGATCTTCAGAACAATCCTCAGCAGTGTCCTCATTTTCTTCTTCCACAACAGATTTCTGTTTTTTCAAAGCAGGTGCATTCGGGGCTGGTACATTTCTTTTCCTCTTCTTCACACCTACGATAGACCAGTTTAATCATTGATTGGTCTTCAAGGGATAATAATCAGAAAGTATAAAAACAACATTTACACTCACGTATCTCTCCAAGTTGTGGTGGGCGCTCCTGCTTTGGAAATGCAGCATTACCTCCAACCCATTCTTCCTCCTTCCACTCATGACCAGCTAACAACAGTCGCTCAATGTAAGCAACTCTTGGATCCTCAACTTCATCATCCCATGACAGGGATGGAGGACAAATATTGTCCTCTGGTTTCACAAGATAGGTTACCTCAACCTACACCAATAAGTTTGTTAACCACTTAGAGAATGTACATTTACTTTTTAAATAATGTACGTACATAAACAATTGTACATACCTCTTCAGCAGCCTCACACTCCAAGATGCTGGATGTCCTGATTGCCCGCAGAGAGGCAAGATGATGGATAGACCTCTGAGTAAATGTCCTGTTAGCTTCATCATCAGGTACTAGCTTAGCAAGAGATGGGATTGTTTCGAACGCAAACAGCTGGAGTGCTAATGGGAATCCATGTAGTGCATAAGACCCATCCTTTACACACCTTATCAGTTTTTGAGCATCTGAAGGGGTTTGGAATTTTGCTATCCTCTCCAAAGTACGGGTAAAAGACACCCTTCCCCAAGGGTATTTGCAGAAGAATTGCACGTCCTTCGTCATCTCAACAGTGAACTCAGAAGGCCTTATGGGGTTATTATGGTACCCTATCACACCATCTACCAAGATTATAAGAGATAAGGCCAGCTGCTTCCACCCATCCATGGCTTCCTCCTCCTTCAGCCAGACCACCAAATCATTCACTGTTGGATTCGCCTTCTCCCCAAACTTCTCCTCAAACAGGGTTTTCCAGACACTTTGACTACCAGCTTTAACCTTTAGCACATCCCTCACGTCTTTCTTGTTGGGATATGTCCCACATTCTAGACCAGTTACCAGACTAAATTCTCTTAATCCGAATTTTATTGGATGACCGCCGAAGACCATCCACATCTCATTCACTTTACTCGTCACTAACTGACGACATATTAGTCCAAGAACAAGCTTACCTGAGAAGGAAGACTTGTTAGCAGGTATCCTAAAAAGGTCCCCAAATGGAGACTCGAGAAGAAACTTCATCTCCTCTTTTCCCTTAAGAACTTGCGCTATGTCAGAAAGGTACTCCGGTTTGGAGTACGCGTTCATCTTCGTCTTCACAGGGTACCGGTCTAGGGCAAAGAGTCTAGGTGGTAACTCTTCAACTATAAGATCTTCAGTCGGAGCCACGCTTGTACTGCCTGCAATTACAAGTGATATACAATTAAGTATGGATGTATGAATTCGTGTACGTACACAGTAATTATCATCATTATATACTCAACATCTGAATTTTGGCGGAAACAGAGATTTCCAATTCAACTTCTCAAATTTTCAAACTACAGATTTAGCAAAATCCGGCAACTTCTATCCCTTTAATCAAACAAGCTTTAAGATTCCGATACACCCAAAGAAACTACAAACGGAATAATATCGGAACTTACCCAATTCCTCCGGCGGATTTCTCGGAGGGATTTTCCTCCTCGGGGATACTCTGAGTTCCACCTTGTCCTTCTCGGGGCCTTCCTGCGTATGCTTCTTCCTAGAGACTACGTCGTTTGGTTTATTCCCAGCCATCGCGAAGGTTGGTATCTCGCCGGATGTTTCTCAGGTCGCCTTCGCCGGAAGAACTGGAACTTTCTCTTCGCCGGTTTTTCGAGTTCAATGCAATGCCTCAAATCAAGTAGCAGACAATTCGAACGGAGATGTCGAAAACGAAGATGGATGAATGAATTCCGAACTGATTTCTACTTCTCTCTCGAATCTCTCGGAGATGTCGAACGAAGATGATGAATTCTTCGTTTTCTTGAATTTTTTTTTTTTTTTTTTTCAAAACAAAAAGTAACTAAACCGCGATATGAAACTAAACCGTAACGTAACTGTGCCGTTTGGTTTTTCGTCAGGGGCATTTTCGTCATTATATGGAATAACTGTCAAAACATGAGATTTGAATCTCACTTTGCCAAAACATGAGATCAAATCTTTTTTTCATGTTAAACGTAAAAATAACTTTATAAAGAAAACTTAAATATTCTCTCCTGATTTCACGTAACGTCTTAATTTTTCGTATTTATTATGATTAAAGATTATGTCAAAGTTTGCTAATTAAACTAATTAAATTTAAATAGGTGAAATAGTAGTAAAATCTTGTTTTTCTTTTAAAAATGTTATCATTAAAATCAATTCTTTCTATTTTATTCATATTCTTTCCTTCTTGTTTTCCATATAGAGAATCTTGTTAAATGTACCAATTTTTGAGAAGTGGCTTTCAAAATCTACCACAATTGGAAACAGTTTTCAAAATCTACCACATTTTATTGCCACATACAAATTTGTAGACGAAATTGCCCTTGATGGTGACAGACTGCTGTGTCAGATAAAGGGACAAGTTGACACTGACGGGAAGAAGAGGAAGCAAGCTGCAATAAATGTTGCACATTTACAATTGCATATAATTATATTTAAATAATATGTTATATCAGTGACAAGTTCAGATCGAATGAGTAATAGAATTAGATCAGAGAGAAATTCAGATAAAATGGGTTATAGAATTAGATCGAGGACAAGTTCAAATCGAATGGGTAATAGAATTAGATCGGGGACAAGTTCAGATCGAATGAGTAATAAAATTAGATCGGAGACAAGTTCAGATAGAATGGTTAATAGAATTAGATGACAAGTTCAAATCGAATGATTAATATAATAAGATCAAAAATTGAGTGTGATGATTTTTATCATCCAATTCTCTTGATTGTCCATCGCCAGATGATGTAGTTTTGCCCGCCAGAAATCTGGATTTACTCGGGGACAGCTGGATCTTTCTGTTATTCTGCAATAGAAGGAAAAAAAATTCAATAATCCGAGTAGGTGAAAACAGTAATGCTCAACTAATCTGTAGACCAAAATAGATGGTGAAAAATCTAAATAAAATTTAAAACCCTTAAATGAGAACAATTGGTGGACAAAATGTGGGATTCATGATAATAGAGCAAGATGATGAAATCGGGGACAAGATCTAGACGCAACAGAGAATTTCAATCGGAGACAAGATCTGGAGACAAAAAAACGAATGTTAATTGTTTAGTCTCAGAAAATATAATATTTTTCGGTTAAAGCGCACGTGTATCGAGGGAGGAGAGATAAATAGGGAAGCAAGAACTGTCCAAACAAATAAGGGCAAAAACGTAACTTAACTTCTAAATGTGGTATAATTGATAAGATAGAGATAATTGTAGTAAATTTTGAAAGAAATTGAAAAAAAGTGGTAATTGTCGTAGTTTTTCCTTCCATATAAATATATAGATCTACTAGTTAATTACTAGTTATAAAAGGAAAATTAAAAATTAGTGAACATGTGGTGTGTTGTCGCAACCAGTGTGCAAGTGCGAGTGTGGGACGGAACGTCACCAGTGAGTCAGTGACCACCACCACCATGTTTCTTTTGCTTTAAGAAAGACAAAAACAAATAAGTATGTTTATTTTTGACCCAATTCTTATTGGTACTCGGGTGCATTAGGAATATCAACATCCTTCTCCCTCACTTTCATTTTCTCCAGATTCTCCTTCCTGAAGTAATAGTTCAATGGCTTTGATACCTACCCTATGTCATATGTTCCTAAGTTTAAGAACACAACACTAATTTCTTAGAAACCTTTCTCTGATCTATCATCTATGCCTTCTCATCTGTACATGAAAGTCTTTAAATACAAAACAGAAGCAAATTAGATCGACCATGCATGATCCTACAAACAAGGAACATGATTAAAACAAAATAGAACACTAGAGATTGATCCCTTAAATCTAATTAAGTACAAACTAATTTATTGAAAGCAGTAAAAAGTGTTTTCTTATTTTGTCCTTGAGACCTTGACCTAATAGCTCCGGTTCAACCTTGGTATTTGGGATTTCGTTTCTTTCATTGAACCGGTTAATAATACCCATCAAACAACAACATCGATCCCAATATGGTTGCAAGAAAAAAAAATGAACACTGAGGAGAATATAAGCAATAACGTTTCCTATTTTTATCTCCACTTTTAAAGGAGATCGAAACCGTCAGATAGTTAGTATGTATTCAAAATATAGTGCTTGTAAACCCTAACCTGTCAATTTCTCCAAAGCATTCATTCTCGGCTTTTTTTTCTCGACGTCACGGCCATCTTCACGACTGAGGTACGTTTTCTCTTATCTCTCTCCTACAAGAATCTGATAGTTTTAAAACCAATAAATTAGGTCAAAACTGATATTTTAATTGCTTATGGTTGTAGAAAAAAATCATAAAATGTCCGAGAATAATGATGATACATATCAAGGTCATGATCTCAAAACTATCATCGAGAGAACAGCAGAATTCATTGCCAAAAACGGGGCTGAGTATGAGAAGGAGTTCTTGGAGTCGCATCCAAAACTCACCTTTTTTGTTAGCTCAGATCCTAATCACGCATTTTACCAGGACAAGCTTATTGAATACCGAAACGCATCTCATGATCATAATGCTACTGATGATGATTCTGATGATAATGTTGAAAGTAGCAAAATCATTCCGCCACCTCCAGGTGGTGTCACAAATCGTATCCAAGGAACAGCACTTTACGTTGCCAAAAAGGGTTTCAAGGCTGGGAAGATGCTCATGCAATCTGAAGCCAACAATCCAAAATACAACTTTATGAGAAGATCAGATCCTTATCACGCATTTTACAAGCAGAAGCTCGCTGAATACCGTTCTCAAGTGGATGATGATTCTACTAATTCAGATGATATTACTGATGAAGAAGTGGTTGCTGCAGCACGACTCAGTGTTGCTCAGGCTGAGTATATATTCCTGCCTAATCGACTACTTATTTGTCTTCCTCATGGGATGAGAATCGAGGAGTTTAATACTATGAAGCTCACAGCACAGTTTGTGGCGTGGTATGGTGGTGCTTTTTGGTTGTGTTTGAAAAATAGAAAGATTCTTCCTAAGTTTGAGTTTTTGGAACAAAGTGCTAAATGGTACTCATGTTTCTCTAAGTTTGTTCTTGAGTTTTCCAAAGTACTAATGCCCCCGGCAGATGTGAAACAAGAGCTGATTAATAGTGCTGACTATGTGACTACCATTGTTGACGCTTTTCTCCAACGTCTTCAATGGAGTGCTCTCCAGCACCAACTATGGTTGGAGGGAGGAAAGAGGGCTATGCTTGATTGGCATGTTTCTGTCACCAAAGATTTAAAGAACAAGGACCTTGAGGAACCAGATCCAAAGAGACAAAAGTTGCAAGAGTCAGCCCTTGTTCCAGAAGACTCTTGCTCAAAATCCGGTAATGTTCTCTTCTTACTGTCCTTTCTTCTGAGAGTTGTATCTAATCATTAGCAGTTCTTTACAGGGCTCGTCTACAATCAAGGTTTCTGTTCCAAATGCTGGTGGTGGTGGGAAAGTCATTGAGATCATAGTGCAGTCGTTATCGGAAAACGTGGCAAGTTTGAAGGAGAAAATAGCTGAGGAGATCCAAGTTCCAGCAAACACACACAAGTTAAGTGGAAAAGCTGGAGTTTTAGACGACGACAACAAGTCACTTGCACATTACAATGTTGGAGTAGGAGATACCCTAACACTGTCTCTGTGACAAACGCTTGTGGGAAATAAATGCTTCTCAATCTCCTCTCTTGTTTCTATCTGTAATACATATGTTTATAACTCTCTCTAGCTCTACTGAGTGTAGTTTGTGTGGGATTCTTATCTTGAAAGATCCCTCTATAACATGGTCATGGTTAAGCTCTTTTGAATAATTAGTGCAGTTTGGTTTCTTTTCCAAAATGTTTTTAATAGTTAACTGATTTTACTGTAAATTACCAAAAATGTTGTTGTATCTCATCAATATAATAATTTTATTTTTATTTCTCAATATTTGCTTTTAAACATATCAAATTTCATTTTATATTTATTCAATTGCACTAATTGATTATATCTATTAATAAAGTCATAGAACTTAATAATTTTAATAGAAATATTATTATCACAAACTTACATACCACAATTAAGCATAAAATTACATCTCTTAGATAACAAAAGTTAAGTATACAATTACTTAACATAAACTTATAAGAATAAAAATAATTTTTAAAATCTATGTTTTTAACATAATAGATTATTGTATTAACTAAATTACACAAATTAATTTAATATTTTATAAGCCGACATTAGAAACCCAAATAATAAAGCAGGCCCATTAGAAAACCTCAACAAGGAGTTTCGTTTATAAATGTGCTAAGCCTATGGCTCAGTTTCTTCCTTGATTGCCAAGCTTCGTTAAATCTCGAAGTCGTCCGTTCTCCCTTTTTCTCGAAGTCAAGGCGTTCTCGCGGCGGAGATTTTCCTTTCCGGCGGAGGTACGGTGTTTCTTATCTTTCTCCAAAACCCTAAGTAGTCCTTCGCGTTGACGAACCTATCTCAGTAGATTTGCTAGTTTGTTGTGGCGATTTTTCAATTTAGGTCAAATTCGAAGAAGCTGATTTTGATTTAAGGTTTCTTATTGTAGAAAAAATGCCCAGTTCGACGCAGAATGAATTGCAATCAGAGCAAAACAACTCCGAAGCAACGAGTATCGAAACCATCCAGCCACCTCTAGATATCATAACTAGAACTATTATCGAAAGCACTGCACGTTCTGTTTCCAAAAACGGCTTGGAGCTTGAGAAAAAGATCATTGCCTCTTCGACTGATCCAAGATTCAACTTCTTGAGGAACACGGAAGATCCTTGTCACGGATATTACAAGCGAAAGCTTGCTGAATATTCTGCTCAGAATCAAGATGATTCTACAAATGAACCAAACATCAAAATCTTTCACGCACCTAAAGATGTACCAACTACAAGTATTGTCGATACAACAGCGCGTTTGGTTTCCAAATTTGGGTTGGAGTTTGAGATGATGGTTAAGGAATCTAATACAGATGATGAAAGATTCAACTTCTTGAAAAGCTCTGAAGATCCTTATCACGCATTGTACAAGCAAAAGCTTGATGAATACGCATCAGATCCTCGTGACGAATATTATCAGCGCAAGATTGCTGAATGCTACGTTCAGAATCGAAATGGAGCTACTGATGTTTCATATCCTATGGATATCAAAATCTTTCATGCCCCTCCAGATGCCCAAACTCCAGCCATTGTCGACAGAGTGGCATTTCTGGTTTCCAAATATGGGTGGCAGTTTAAGATGATGGTCATGGCCTCTAATACAAATGATGCAAGATTCGACTTTCTTATGAGCTCACCAGATGTTGACCCTGCTCAAGCTTATTACCAGAGAAGGCTTACTGAATATTGTCATCAGAATCATGATAAAGTCTCCGTCTAGGGTTCAGTCTCAAAGACTTGATCTGCCTAATTTTCTAGATTGTAGAGTTCTTGAAGGGATGACGCTCGAGGAGCTTGATACCGTTAAGGTCACAGGGCAGTTTGTGGCGTGGTATGGGGATGTTTTTCGTGGGAAACTGATGGAAAGAGTGATGATGAACCATCAGTTTGAGTTTATGAAGCAAACTGATTACAGGTTCTCTTTCTTCAACGAGTTTGTTGTTGGGTATTCGCAAGTATTAAATCCTCCCAAATATTTGAAAGATAAGCTGAATAACAATGCCGCCTATATGACCGCCATTCTTGAGGCTTTTCTCGAACGTATTCTATGGGATCATGTTCAGGAGCTTAAATGGCTTGATGGAGGGGAGAATTCTATGATTGAATGGCATAACTCTGCGTCCAAAGATTTTGTGGAGGATCATGAGTTGCTACCTATGCTTGAAATGTCTCCTCCTGCACCACTTCCTCCACAGAAGAGACCAGAGTTGGATGAGTCAGCCCTTGTTCCACTTGAGCCAGAAGACCAGTTTCTTGCACAACATGAGGGTTTGTCTATAATCAGGGTGATTTGTGTTCCCGACGGGCAAGTAATTAAGATCACAGTGCAGTCGTTGTCCGAAAACGTAGCAAGTTTGAAGGAGAAAATAGCTGAGGTGGTCCAGATTCCAGCAAACAAACACATGTTAAGTGGAAATAGAGCGGTTTTAAAGGACAATGATAGGTCACTTGCTTATTACAATGTGAAATCAGGAGCTATCTTAATACTGGACGTGGTCTGAGACAAAGAGATGGACACAAAGGCTTGTAGATGCTGGGACAAGGGAATGCTTTTGATCAATCTTTAAATACATGTTTTAAAACTCTCTCTTACTGCTACAAGAATGATTATTACTTATTGACTTAAGTTTGTTTTATTTTGGCAGCTACTTCTTATGGGTCATGGTGAAGCTCTTTTAGAGCATTTTGGTTTCTATTCTAAAGTTTTCAATAACTAAACAAATTGACTTGTAAAAATATCAATAAGGATGTTATATCTCATTCTTTTATTCCAAATTGAATCATTGATTCTAGAAATACCTTTTTCCCCCAAAATGTTTTTGAGTGTTCCTTCAATTCAGAACCTAATGAGATCATTTTAGCAGAAGCAAAGAAGAGATTCTTATTATATAAATTGTAAGCCAAAAAATAAAAAAATTACAAATAATTAGAACCAAGATACATTTAAATGTTCAAAAGGTGTCCTCTAATTTGTATGTTCCAACTAATAACGAAAAGGTTTCTAGTGTTTATTCTTCTTCGGCCATGGCTACATCGTCTTGATCAGCATCACCATCTCCAAAGTCATCATCTCCACCATATGGTGCCACCGGAATAGCTTCGTCTTCATACGACGGTGCATCAGGAATCTCCATGTTCTCTGTCACTTTCATCGTATCCAGATTCTCCTCGCTGAAGAAATTGTTCAATGGCTTTGAAACCTACAACAACAACAAAATCAACACTCTTCTTTCTTGACCCCAATATGTTGCAGCAAGGTTGACACTTTTAACACAAAGGAAAGAAAGTTTTTTTTTTTTACCTTGAATAATCGGTGTCTTTGCTCAGCACTTTCGATAAGGTTTTTCCAAAGCGGATCACTCTTCAATGTTGCAGCTGAACCAACGACCTGATAAGAAAGTTTCAATGGAGTATGGATCCGTGAGATAGAACGAGAGAGAGGGAATATACATGCAGAAAAAGCCCGAGAATCGTTTCTATGAAAGTTTTCCTTATATGCCTTACCAATACAGAAGACTTGGCTCGTGTAATCCCCACATTCATACGCCGAGAATTAGAGAGAAAACCGATTTGTCCTTTATCATTAGCTCTGACGCAGGAAAATATTGCAACATCCTTCTCCCTTCCCTTTTCATCAAGATGAGGTAAAAAAGAAAGAGAAATGGATGAAAACTTTGGACTGTAAGTTCATTTCTACGGTTCGAGTTCTGACATTGGTATAAAAGCAGAATCTAATGCATTTTAGTTTGTTTATGAGCACAGTTGATGTTGAACTGTGCAGAGAGTAGAATATTGACCTGGAACCCATCAACAGTGTTGATATCAACCACTTTTTCTGCCTCCGTACCAAACATCTCCTTGAACCGATCTTTGAAAGTTTTTACTTGGTAGTTATATGGCGATATAATAGCTAGCTGAGAACTTGACTTAAGCTCCGGGTACATGGTTACAAGTCTGTGGTAGATGAGAAGAACAAATTCCACCTCGTCTAGATTTACCCGAGAACCAGTTGCTCCTGGATGTTGAGACTCTTTCCCATCATGTATATCAAAAAAGCAAAATGGACCAAAGCACCGGTATCTATGCCAGTCACGAGTAGTCTGAGCTTCAATGTCAGATCCATCTTCTAGTGCCTCTTCATAGAATTGCTTTGACGGAAAGCTTCTTATCTGATTTTCAGTTAAAATTGTTTGCAGTGTAAAATGAGATACAATCATTTAAGTACGAATTAAGCTAACTATTTACAATTATTTGGCTTGGTCAAGAATCTTGTGAAATAGCTATCCTAAGTGGATGCCAGATGAAAATATGTACCTCTGGATGCATCCGGTATTGGGTCTTCAACATTTTTACCGGATAGCCAGCCTTTTGAAGTCTCTCGAACATGCTTGTACCGTACCTTCATAATAGAAAGGAAAGACAGCAATCCAATAGTGTCAATACTATACAAGAGAGACATAAACAGATAAAGTTTGGATGCAATGACTGCATTAAAGCACTTACCCAGAATCCTGAGCAACAGTTGAGATTACAGTAGCTGGGAGTTGTTTTGGATCCCCTACCTGGTAAAAATAGATTTGTATTAAGGATATCCATAGCTACCAAAGTTGCCTTTAACATTAATCATTAACTCATAAACTTATGGTGTGTGTCGAATCATCTATCTATTTTATGTACTCTGAAACTAACTGCAATGTTGACACATGAAGGGTAACCTATTGGATCTTACCAGAAATACTTGTTTGCACCTGGTGGCCAAAGGGATAAGAGTTGCTGGCTCAACCTGGCAAAGTACACAAGAGTAAATTTCATTAGCAATGAACATTGAATATAAGCACTAACAATTTCTCTACCTGCATAAACTTTTTAAGTTAATAGCTGATTTCACTTGCGTAGCAAAAACAATTACTTTTAAGATACACGACATACTCTGACTAGGAACGAAACCAGGATTAAAAGTTTCCTGATACTTCAACATAGGTCAGGGCGAAGACATGACTCAATTCTATGTAATGACATGCCATGAGAACTCATGAAACTTGAGTTTAAAAAACAAAGCATCTTTTTTTTTATTTCCACTTTTATAAATAAAACCATCTGGCATTTAGAGAAACCATCTGGCATTTAGAGTGTGTAAACTAAGCAAACAAATCGAGCATTAGTCCATATTCTATTGGAAGGGGCTTACAGCTTGTGCAGCTTCATCTATTATAACGACATCGAAACCACGATTAGACTTAGCAAGAAGTGCAGAGCCACTGAAGCTAAGGGTAGAGAACACCTGAAAGTGCAAAGAAACAGAAGTGGATATTCAGGGAAGGAAAAAGAAAAGCTTTGAATTACATTAATACGAAAGATAATTCTCCATACAATCGCAGCCTCTTCCAAAATTGCAGTGCGGATACTATCTATATCAGTTCCTGTGGTCCCTTGTTTTGGTTTATCGATGGCAGAGCCACGCTTTTGTGCCACCTGCAAAGGGTGTTGTCAGAACAGTACCCAACCACAACCAACAGACCTTTAATTATCTGATGACAGCTAGATTCCCAGTTGAACATTCTTTAACAAAGTTAGATCAAGCAACCACAACTAAGCCAGGACGAAAGGCAATCAAAGTGTAAAAGCTACTAGATACATACGAGGTGATCCAGCGATACTGACGCAACGGAGTGATGTGCCTTGAGACCAATGCGTACTATTTTGGGTGTGTATGTCTGGGCATTTTCGTCACGAAGACCTGAAAGTGCAGAAACCATAACATATAAGACCATTACCAACTCTCAAATAATGAAACAATGTATTGGATAAACCACATACCCGTAGTCAAAAGCCGCAACACAATCTCATCAAGTGCAGAGTTTGATGGAGCACAGACAAGTACACGTAATCTGTACTTCCGACTTGCATTAACCACCTCCGGTTTCTGAACATCAAAAGAGAATCAGATAAGTGGGGTTACTATATGATAAAGAAAGAAATGTAGGTTACCATTTGTCTCAGAATAAAAATCTTCCGACTTACCAATTCATTTCCTGAGGTTGGAAAAAAACCATCATCACCATCTTCAGGCATAATAGCATCTCGAGGGTTGACACCCAAAATCCAAGGAGAGGCTCTTCCCCAGTGATTGTATCTGCAGACAAGATATAGTGAGATATGTTCACCAAGAGGGATGTATGGTATGGACCAAACTATTGATGCAATGTAATATTATTCTAATTCCTCTTAAGTTGCAAGATTTCAAATAAAACACCACATGATAGAGATAATACTAAATTTTCCAATCATTATGAACACACATCTGGGTATGCGAGAACTGAGTATCCAAATATTTAAAAGATCTTAAATGGGAGGAAAACCATACTTCTCCTGGATGGTCATCTGAATACCACACTTCACTTCATGCTCTGTACCCCTATTATGAAAAAAATGGAAATTCAGAATGCAAAGCGTATCTATAATCTTACTTGGAGCTGCACATAGTTAAGTGAGCGTCAAAAGGATAGCATGTAAGAAATTCATACTTAGACTGGACTCTTGCTGGAGTGGCATGCATAATAGCACCAAGAATGCTAAGAATCGTCTGAGTTTTCCCAGTACCTGGAGGACCCTAAAGAAGGATAGACTAATTAGTATTCAAATCATAGGTTAATTCATTGGCTTTTCAATGCAATTTGGAAAACAAGTCTGCTATATCCCTATTGACAAAGAAGTTTCTCATATCCATGTAGTCAACATGACCCAAATATTGCCGACTTAGAATAATTTTGGTTTTCTGTTTTATATATCATCTACATACCTTTTAAAGGCAATCTTGATAGTCAAACAGAAAGACATTGAGTGCTAGCTCAGTAAGCATGCTGGAGAATTTTAATTTCAAGTCAATTGAGGGCATTTGCATAGAAAATTATTGCGTGTTTGAAATTCAATCTTAACATGAAAAAGCTAAGTAATATGTCAACCTAAAAACAAAAAACAAAAACAAGTTAAGTGAAGAAGTCAACCTGTATTAAGACAAAGGATTTTCTTGATAGACCAACCTGCAAAATAATATTTTGAAACGAAGAGCCCAATTCTGTGTTAGGGAAACTGTCAACGTCTCTAAGGAAAGAAATTACATGGCTAGACTTACATCAATTGCCTCCTTTTGGGATTTGTTGAGAGTTTCGTTAAAGAATCCATTCAGAGGTCCAGATATTTTCCATGCCTCATCTCCAAAACCACAAGATTTTTCTGCTGCAGTGAAGATTAAATCCTTGAAAGGGAGTGAACTAACTGATCGTAGTGCTATATATTCCCGAATAATGGTTGATAAACCACATAACTACAAGATTAACAAACCATCCATGAAAGAGGTTGTATGAAAAAAGGGAACTATATTCTATCTAGAAAGGATATGTAGCATGACAACAAAAGTCGCTTAAGTTTAAGCAACAGAAATTAAAAAATCAGATTCTAACTAGTATTAAAGTATGAAAGAAAGAGAAAAGAGAAGCCAAGCTAGCATAACACAACCTAATACTAGACCACATTATTAAGGCTTATTTATCCAATTTATGAAAAAAAAACAAATGATATATATAACTATTCATAGTTGCTGTGTCATAACGACTGACCTTTAAACTGAATACCCTTTTTTCTATAGGGCTGGCAGATGATGTAATAAGAGAACGCATATTTGAAAGCGCTTGGACAAATGACTTTGTTCTAGAGGATTTAGTATTTTTGGTTATCTGCACAATGTCTTCAGCTAAATACATCCGAAGACGAAGAAGATTATTTTGACGATGTTCCACTACAGCAAACCCATAAGATGAAGGAAATGAAGTCCCTTTAACCTGGAAAATTTAATCTCTAAGTGAATCCAACATTCAACGGTGACTTTTATACAAGAAAGTACAAAATCAGAAATACAAGTGATACAACACCTAGGAAAATCAAACAATAACAAAGGAATATTATATGTACCTCTTCTTTTGATAGCAATAAAAGATCATTTTGAGCAAGATATTCATCCTCTTCATGTTCGTATGTGACTAACAGAAAGTGAAACCCTTCGGCCTCGCTGCACTCCATTACCAATCTCATTTTACACACCGATGCTAAGAGGAAAAAAGACAAAAGTCATTTCCACAACCAGAGCCGAATATGTTAAGAACTAGTTATCTAAACATCAAATCTTACAACAAGTATACAAATTTAGTTCTGATAGCTGAACATAACAACTGCCACTTTCTTTCATGATCAATGGATGGACAAAAGTAATAAGGAAAAAAAAAAGCCAATTATAAACATCTGTATATAAGTTTTATGGATCTAACCTTCTTCACCATCTTGATTCTGCAAAATTTGAGCTTTAACTTCCTCAAAGAGCAATGGTTCAAAAGTCTCGAAATAATCATCAACATCTTTATAAGTATTCTTCACAACATTCAACTTCTCTTTAGAATCCTTTCTATTTTTTCTCTGCATTACATAAAATGGAATAAGCTAAATGAAACCGATGAAAACACATAGTTGTATGATCATGAAGTACCTCATTCTCTTTAGTAAGCTGTTTATAGTCCCAACCCAAAATAATATTATAGAAACGAGTAACAGCTGAGGCTTCTTCTTCTTGAAGCTTGCCATTGTCGATCGCCATTACTCACTAATCTCTCTCTCTATCAACTCCAAATTCACCTCCACGGATTCTCTACATGAACATGTATCAAACAAAAACATTAGCCATACCAAAACAAAACTGAGAAAGAAAGTTATAAATGCAATGCAAGCATAAGCATAATGTGATTGTATAATCAGTAAACTAAATTGTTATCATCTTTTTTTAATTATAGTCTATGGAATTCAAAAGCAGATACAGCTAGATACATGTTGCAATGAAACTGTGCACATAATTGAAGCTTGCTTTTTCGAAATTGAATTATTATGCATCAACCTAATCAAATAAGAGAGCCTATTTTCACCAACAGAGAAAAACCCAATTTGAATTTATAGAGAACAAGATATGAGCGAGAAGTTGTGTGTAGAGGAAGCAAAGGTATTATATATAACGGGAGATCAGAGCTCTGGAGAGAGGAAATTACCAGTCGGAGAAGAAGAGAAAACACGGCGGAGAGAGTTACTGTAACCGGGAAAAGGGTTTTAAGACTGAATCTTCTTAATTTCTTTTTCTCCTTTGTTTTTTAAATACTATATTATTTTTCCTTTTACTTACTTTTTTTTTTTATTAAGATAATTTTGGTGGTGGCCCGAAACAATACAAGGCCCAGTTTACGGATCCTATAAATTTTCTTTTAATTTTTCTTAACTTGTTAGTTTCTTTCACTTTTAATTTCGGATTAATTTATCTTCTTTTTTTTTTTTGGAAAAAAGATACTCAGCTACACGAAGTATGACGGAATACATGGCTACACATGCCAAGTTTAAAAATGTACAACCAACTACACGAACTAAATGTATTGCATACCCACATATACCAACTATATGACGACATGTGCTTAACATCACGAACATTTATTCCGGTACATTAATCAACGAAATCCGGCGTTGACCATTGTTTACCGGTATTGACCGGCATTGACCAACAAAAATATTCAAAAAAATTTTTAGTAATTAGTTAATTCTTTTAGTAAATATTCAAAAATTTTTTTTTAGTAATTAGTTAATTTTTTTAGTATAGACCGGTAGTGATTTTAATAATTAGTTAATTTTTTTAACTTCAAAACTAAACTAAAAGTGAAATGAAATAAATTTTATTATTTTTTTTAGAAAAATTGAGTATATGACTCTTTAATCTAAAGTTTGCATGTTTAAAAAATATTAAGTTTTTTTTGCTAAAATCAAAATCATAATACATAGTTAAAAACATAGAAAATTTTACATACTCTTTAGTCTAACTTTAATATATTATTAATTTATGTAATTAAAATTATTAAAAAAAATTTCGTAATAACGGATAAATAACAAAAATGGTCGTAATTTGTTTTTTTTAATATATAGCAAATAAAAAATCTAACGATATTGATTTTAGCAAAAACATTTATAAAATAAGAAGTTAATGTTTTTATTGACAATGTAAAAATAAGGAATTCGCTTAATTATTTTTATTTCACTTTTATTTTAGTTTTGAAATTGAAAAAACTAACTAATTATAATAATCAATTTATTAAATATATATACAAAATTAGGCCTGGGCATATGGGTAACCCATTCGGATTCGGGTAAAACCCGTTCGGGTTCGGGTTGAATGGGTAATGAATTTATGGTCCATTCGGGTATTCTTATGGTTTCGGTTCCGGTCCGTTTCGGGTATTGTCGGGTTCGGGTCGGTTTGGGTAATACCCGAAGTTTAAAATCACTTTACATACTCAAATGAACAAATAAAGAGAATAGAACATCAAACATGACATTCAAATACTAAATCCAATCCAAAATAACAAAGATGACTATTTCACTATTAAGTGTTAAGAATAGATTCTAATTATCTATAAACATATGTGTATTACATATATATAATTATATATATAAGTATATAACTATATAAGACTATATATCTAATTATCTATATACATATATAAACTCAAACGTCAAAAGTCACAAAACCTAAAACCTAGGACATACATATAAGTATATAACTATATAAGACTATATATCTAATTATCTATATACATATATAAACATGTGTATTTCTTCGGGTTTGTGGGTACCCTAAATGGGTAACGGGTAATCCCCGACCCAACCCGATACCCACGGGTAATCCAATACTCTACCCAATGAGGTAATTTTCTAATACCCTAACCCGCCCCAACCCGTTTTTTCGGTCCGGGTATCGGTTCGGGTATCGGGTCCGGGTTTTTTGCCCAGGCCTATACAAAATTTATTTAAGTTGAATATACTATATAGAATGTGTTTTCCTCTTTAATTATACAATACAATAAAAGATTTAATAGGATAATTTTTTGTTTTTGTTTTTAATATTAAAATATAAAAAAAATTGAATATTTTTGTTGGTCAATACAGGTCAACGATGGTCAACGCCGGATTTCGATGATTAGTATACCAGAATAAGATGTTCGTGATGTTGACCACATGTCGTCATATAGTTGGTATATGTGGGCATGCAATACATTTAGTTCGTGTAGTTGGTTGTACATTTTTAAACTTGGCATGTGTAGCCATGTATTCCGTTATACTTCGTGTAGCTGAGTATCTTTTTTCCTTTTTTTTTGCAAAAATTGACTTTTCCTTTTCTCTGGATTTATTTTTTATCCAAAAAAATTTACAGGCAATTCTTCCAATTATTTTTTGGTTAAAGGATTTTCTTGAATTATAATAAACCTTAATAACATGGTCTAGTAATCTAGTTCTATTTCTGGTCGAATCTTTGATTGGATTCTTTGCTGAATTTCTCATATTGAGTTTGCACTCCGTCTAAAAGTCCAAATTCCTTGAAAGAATGCAAACTTTTTAAGAATTTGTTTAAGTAGATAAACATAATGCTAAGAGTTGCCATACGATCTTGAACAACCGCATTTGTGCTCCATGGCTCGATTAGTCCACCTTTGAAACTCTGAACACAATGTTGTATAATGTGACTCCTCCATACACTGCAATATTAGTAGACTCATTGAATGAGTTATTGTTTAGATTCCAACCTTGCCACAATACTTATGTTCATATCCTGTATATGCTAGCTCATAAACAATATCATGTTCTCCGATTGGATCCGGGTTCACACAGATAGGCAGTTACAGATCATCTGCAAAGACAAATAAAAAATAGAAAAGTTGGAATCACAGATGTAACACTACGAACGAAAGAGAATTCTACTCGAGCAATTCGATTTACCAACACCGGAATTGCATGTAAGATTATTCATTCTTAATGACTACTCTTATATCAAGCTAATTAATGAGCTCTTCTAGTTTGGTGTTTTTATTATATATTTCACAAGTAAATTAGTGTATATGTTATTCTTTCTTTAATTTTTTTTTTGTTAATTTTTACTTTTGGATAATGAAAACAAAATTCAATTTGTTTTTGAAATACACCCACAAATATTGTAAATATTTTTTTTTGTCTTTTTGTTACTTTTTCCTTTTGGTTAAGCGAAGAAAGTTAAATTTTTTGTGTGTTATTTTAAAAAAATATATTTTAGCAAAAATAAATAGTGAATAAATCTTATAGAAAATTAAAAGAAAAAAGATTGCTAACTACATGACATATTGTAGAATACGTGGTCACACGTATTGTGTAATACACGAGTTCTAATCAAGTTAATAATAAATAAAAAAGACGATTTTTTTTTTTTTCTGTCAACAGATTTTAATTAAAATTTAAAAGAATCATTTTTGGGGAATGTTGTTTACATAAGTGATATGATGCGGTTCGGTACGAACTTTTCGTGCCAAGTTATCCGCTTTTACATTTGCACTTCGAGGGATTAGAGATAATGAAATTTAGAGAAGATCAGTTTTTATGGATTCCATAAAAAAATGCCCTTTATTATTATTTACATGAAAATAGTTTCAATCATAATTACATGTGTTTATCACATTAACTAAACCCAATTCAACTTGTAACAAACTTGTAATCCTCCTTAAAACGGTTTAGTAGTTTCTGATGGTGCTACTGCTGCAAGGCGTACACGCAAGATCAACGGTCGAGATACAAACGCGTAGAACTTCATGAACAACTCCTCGTTGAAGCACTCGTAGAACCGTCTCTTCTTTACCTGTTACAACATCGACTAGAGAGACCTGACGCGACACGATTTCGTCTCTCATTCTTCTCCCACCTGACCATCGACCTAACGTCAACCATTTCACCCAAACTAGCTGCTCTGAGATTCCACATCGCTGTAGCGCATCCAAGATTTGATCTCGCTGTAGAAAAAATAATGTTAAAAAAGTTGCGAAACGAAAATATGGGATATTACGAAAGGCGGGTTTTTCCTTTTGGAATAAACAACTAACCAACGGTTTCAAGTGTTGTATGCAGTAGATGAGTCCAATGAGGTTGAGCAGCACACTCAAGTTTGGTTTGAAGAGAAATAACTCCACATCTTGAAATCCTAATTGCATCGAGCTCATGGTTTCAACCGCCTGCAGATATTTACCGGCCTCTAGAGACAACGTAGCAGGACTATTAGTCACATATGTAATCACCTCATAAGCTCTAGATGCCATTTCCTTGTGCTGCATCACGTAAAATCTTCTCCATTCCTACAAAATGTTCAGGATACAGTAATCATGAATCCATAATAGACCTTACTGCAATCAAAGTTACATAGAACTACAGTCTCGGTAAGTTGAGCTATATAAACGATCATACATCATGTCCAATTCAAACTATAACCTCTTCACACAAAATAGTCAAGTCTCTTGTAAATCTCATTAAGGTATCCACAAAAACAGTAGATAATATAAAACTCTTTCTATAATAACATCAGCACCTTCATATGTCTCAGTAGACTGAACAATTGTTAAATATCTCAACTAAAAAACTGTTCTTTACAATCTCAAATCAAGCACCATCCATCTAATCACCAATTGATCCAATCAACATCCAATTCAACAACAAACAAACTCATCACCAGACTTTAAAAATGGCCAAAATCTAATCAACTCAGAAACAAGAATCCATGGGAATGTCTCATTTTTCTACCTGAGAATTTTCATTGGTTTGGGTTTGAGGAAACTGAGTATTGTCTCCATCAAATGAGGATAACAAGGGCCATCTTTGCCTAAACAGAGGTTCCCACAAGATATCAGAACCACATAGCTCTCTCCAAAACCTAGAACAGCTACTGAGTGCACAAAGATCAATCACCTATCCATCAAACAAGACACAATTTATCAAGAATTAGCCTCAGAATCAAGTTCACAAAATCCAACAGAAATTGAGTAAAAATACCTGAAGAGAAGAGCTGATCTTCAAGATTATGTCTTGAGGGAGAGAGCTACAAGAAAATCGAACTGAATTCATATTTTTTTTTTTATATAAAATCTGAAATTTTTCTTTGATGTCTTTGGTTTCTAAAGAGAACACGTTACCATATGACTAATTACGATGTGAAGGAGATGATGATGATGACGATGACTCACCACATAAAAAATGCCTTCTTGATGTTGACTTAAACAACAAGAGACAAAGTTAACCCAACAGACAAAAAAATGTCAATTTTTCGTTGGTTTCTAACATATGAACTTCAAAGATAGCTTGTACCCAGATGAGATTTATATATCTAATCTCATAAGAACTCATCTTCTCCAGAGGATCACCAAGAAAAAAACTCTTCTTTGGTACAATGCTGGTTTTCTAGTGGATGCCCGTAAGCTGTTCGATGATATGCCTGAGAGAAAGTAAGGTGATAACTCGGAGAAAGCACATGATCGGTAGTTGTTAATTCTTGCATCTGCAAAAGTTTGATGCGTAAGCAAAACGGATTTAGGCAGAGAAGTTCGACTAAAAAAATAAAAGATTGGGGCATTCCGAGAATTGAACTCGGGACCTCTCGCACCCTAAGCGAGAATCATACCACTAGACCAAATGCCCAATGACAAAAAACTTGAATTGGGTTAACTTAGTCATTAAATGAAAATAATGATAAAGCCATTGACTTTTTCATAACACTAAAGTCTTCTAATTCTATTATCTTGAGGAGTGCTTGAGAAGCATACAAATATTTCTTTAGAAAACATATATGAAAAAGCTTTACTTGCTGATAAATGAGTTATGCCAAGACTACTTACAAAATAGACTCACTAACGAAGAATATCAAGATAATAGATAACGAAAAATATACTACCAATTTTATTTTCATAAACATACACGAACTTTTATGTGTGTATAGAAAAATATACGGAAAATCATATTTTAAACCTTCAAAGTGGCACTGGATAACATTTTAAACCTCGATATATTTTTACTAGTCACTATAAACTTCCAAACTAATTTTACTAACACTTTACATGACGCCCTAAAAATAACGGAATAGTAACTCCGTCAACAGAAAAATTAACCCCGTCAACGGAAAAGTAACGTGTTTAAAAAAAAAAAAGGAAAACATGCTTACAAAAAAAAATCATGTCTAAAGTTTAGTTAACAAATTGCATTACATGTCTAAAATTCTCTTCTCTTCATCGCAGAGATCGTTAAACAAGTGTTTGTTATTTAGAGTTTGATTGTGATGGGTTGGTGATGGAAGAGGTCACGGAAAAACACGTCAGACAAGTAAAATGACTTATATTTTATACATAACTACATATATATGTAATTTGAATAAAAATTTTATGTTTTATATTTTTCTTATGATGCTACATATGTAACGATAAAAACGGGTGTTAGGAGAAGAAGTAGAAAAATGGTGATTCAAGATGACTATGCTGGAAAACGGCATAGGACAAACCTCATCGGGCAACTCTCTGATGCCCAATTTCGGTTTTCCTGTCCAAAACTTCGCTGGAAAATAGCATCTGGAAAAATCCATGATGCCCAATTATGGTTTTCCCGCCCAACTCTTCTGGAAAATCGCATCTGGCAATTGCATCGGGCAACTCCCTAACGCACAGTCTTGTTTTTCGTTTAACCGGGTTTATCTTCTATTACCTATAATTGGATATTAAAATCCAGAGACCTAATTTTTCAGTTCACGTTTTCTTCTGCAATTTTCTGAGATAGACTTTTTCTAGCCACTTTTTGGAATTCTAGAGATTCATCCTCTTTGACACTTTGGAGAAGATCTCTAATTCCTTTTTCTTTCATATTTCATTAATTTATTATGTCTTCTTCATCTCTTTGTGTTGTTCTTTTCAATATGTGTGAGTAGTCTCTCTATTGGGTTTTAGGGTTCTAAGTAGGAGATTCAATAGTTTGATGGTTTGATTGTTGCTAGGGATTCTTAACGCTTAAGTTCTTTGATCACCCTGTTTTAGATAATAGGTTTTTATATGTATCAAAAGTATTCTATAGAGAATGCATGAATGAATGTGAATTGAGCAATGTATTTCTAGCCAACAAGAGTTGATGTTAGAATGCATTTCGAACCGAAGGGACCTAATTCTAATGCGAATTTGATTAGGAAATTACAAATGAGAGTGTAGTTGTCGAGTAGTCAAATTTAGTGACTAATGTCTTGAGAGAGAATTAGTCTAAACTATTGTGAATTCCTTGTCTTATATTTTCACTAATCATTGATCTCTGACGTACCCTATTGTCCAATGCTTTTTATAATACAAGTTTAATCGTTCATTTTCTTTGCATTTTAATTTACAATCTGAAAACTAAAAGAAATAATCTTTCCGCTTTACTAAGAACGAGTCTCAAAAATCTTTAGTGTACCACTGGTTCTTGTAGATCGACCTCGTATATACTATCCTGCAATTAAGTGTATCGAATAATTACTCGACAATCATCATCTTATTACAAAATACTAGATTCAACTGAAGATTCAACTTGGTCTATTATCTAACTTGAACGTTAGAGCATCTATAAGAAGACTTTATAATATCGTCTTCAAAAATTCTAACAATGTTGTGGTGATAGCTATGTTGTCCAAAAAAATTATGATTACTCGTAGGGTTTGGTTCTTTCAAAAACGCTATTTTTTTAAATCCTCATTTACAAAATAGTTGAATAATTTATTTTAAAAAACTAATAAACTTTTTTTTTTTGATAACCCAGGTGTCCGGTCCAATCGGAGCTGATGTGGTCCTGGAAGCCTGCAGCCGCTATGTGAATTCCGCAGTGGCCAGGAATCGAATGCAGGTGGCGGTACCTCCAACTGGAAGCCTTTTACCACTAAGAGAAAAAAAAAACTAATAAACTTAGGCATCATTAGCCCTTAGCTTGTCGGACAATATATTTTCACTACCTTTGCTGACTTGTTTCTATAGATAAATATTTAGTCTAAAATTAATATAACTTTTGTTAGAAAAAAAATTTCTAGAAAATGACATGGCACCATTTTCATTGATAACTTCAACAATCTCTCTTGTGAATGTGAGTATATATAGAAATATTAAAACAAAGAAATGAATTTAATAATTGGACAATATTGAAACCGGTGTAATAAAAACTAGTGTCCTTTTGTTGTGGTTTAATTAAACCTTTTGTTGTGGTTTAATTATTCAACAATCTAGCTACTTTCTTTTCCTTTGCAAACTCTCTTTTATACTTTATTATAGTTTGTTATCTGGTTTAATTTCTGGAGAGTTTACACTTTTCTCCAGCTTATGTTTCCGGGATTTATCTTTCGTTCTCGGATTTAGCTTCTCTTGTTTGGGCTTTAGACTCTGGGGATATCTCTGTTTTCTGCCGACTTATATTTGTATCTCATGTATCTCTTCAAGTTTCTTATAAATACAACCAGATGACAAAAAAAAAAAAAAAACTAACGGTTTTTCTTCTCTTATTTTTACGGGCTTCCGAGGCGCCGACATCTGCTTTCTATATTATTCATTCGATTTCTCTTCATATTTACGGTGGCAGTTGCTGTTCTCTTTGTCGGTGATGTGGTTTTCATGGGACATCTCTCACACTCTTTGGCAGTTATCCCTACACTGAAGCCCATGATTCGATGTGATGCAGTTTTGTTCTCACAGAATTATATGTATAAATGGACATGTCGGGATCTGTTGTTTTCACAGCTATTCTCGCAATTTCTGGTGGTCAATTAACTGCAGATTTTGGGGACAAGCAGATTTGCTATGTAAAAGACGCCCATGGAAACCACCACAGAGAAAGAGACATTTTAGGGATGAAAATGTAGTGACAATAAACAATTATCTATGAATGAATAAGGCAGATCTGATTTTGATAACATGGACGAGACAAGTTTTAGATACAATTCGAACAATATTAAATTTCAGTTTATTAATCAAGGTTATGCCAAGGGCATTGTGGAAGATGATAGCCAATTTTTTTTTTTTTCATCAAGAAGATGATAGCCATTTACAAGTGTATAAAAGGAGGACTTAATATATGTTATTTGTTAAGTTTGGAAAACATAGTCACTTTTACTCTTTCATCAAAATTGTGTTCAATTTTCTTTATTTAAGATATTGGTTGTATTTGATTTGTTTTTGTATTGTGTAAACTCGTTATGATATCATATATTCATTTTCCTTTAAAAAACAAAAAATGAATTAAATAATATTTCAAAGTTTAAGAAAACAAAGTAGAAAGCCTGAAAATTTTATATATAAGAAAATAATTATTTGTAAAATTCAAAATTGAATTGGGAATATTTGATATATAATTACAAAGATATATTAAATCTTAATTTATTAAGAAAAAAATGCTTATTAAATAATTAGAAAATCAGATGTAATTAAATATTAATAAGATAATTTTCCTTATGCAAAACAAAATGTGTATAAAAGGCTTATAATATATAAAACTATACAAATCATATATGGTATTAATCAATAATTGGGTAATCTATTATGTATTTCTTTTTTTCACTATTTCAAAAAAATATTGTCTGTCTTTGGTTTGTAATATATGTTAAAAAAAAATATATTATAATTTTTCTATGTGTGCCAAATTTGTGTGAATGTATGAGTATATAAAGGGTTTTAGGTTGTCGATAAATGATCCATCTTTTTTTTTCTTTGGTAGCTCAAGTTTTGATAAAATGAGTTGTTGCTTACCGCTTTTACCAAAAAATAGTCCTAAAAAGTAAGTGTAATTTATATTCTTACACATGTTAATTAATGAAAATTCTCTTAGTAACTCACTAATTCTTCTTCGATATGTGATTTAGTGTCGAATTCAACATGCCGAAGTGTAGCATATGCGAGAGAGCTATGACTGATGCTATATCCAAATTCAGAGGTAGAATAATATCTATAGTCATAGTTTAGGTGTATATAATTGATAGTAATATGAAGGTACATATATATGCATGCATGTTGTAATTTGTTTGTATGATTTATGATTATTAGGAGTTACAATATGTGTGGTGGATAAAGAGAATCAAAAGATTAAGGCTACTGGAAGTTTTAATCAGGAGATGTTGTTGAAAAAACTCATGAAAGTAATTCAAGAATTGGAGATTCATGAGGGGGAAAATGATAAGAATGATGAATCTGAAATAAATAAAAAAAATGAAGAGAAACTTAAATTAATTCCGAAGAAACGTGAAGAATCTAAAATGGTTGAAGAAGAGCTTGCAAAGGCCAAGAAGAAAATTGATCCAAATAGTGATGAGCATAAACAAATAGAGAAAATTATGATGTTCAATGAAGAAAATACCAACGCTAGATGTACTATTTCGTAAAGTGTAGTTTGTCAAATAGACCTTTTTACAAAGGTTTTTTTTGGCATTAAGTTTCATATCATTTCAAATTCAAATCTTCACATTTCTCCCCATCTTGTAGTTTGAATAAAATTATTATGTATTCCCTTTGTTTTTTAGTTGTATTTTTTAAAGTATTCACAGATTTTTAATAAAAATAATTAACTTGATCAATTCTTATTAATTTTCTATGGATTGAATTTATCAATTTAATTTAGATATACATTATAGTATAGATTTGGTGAAGATAAATTTATAGATATAATTGATTACATTCATCTTTATGAAACAATTAAAAAAAATCCTAAATTCATCTTTCTTAGTGAAAGAGGAAGTATATTAGATAAGAACATAATTAAGGTACTTTATCTTTTCTTTTCTTTTTTATTCAATTTAATTATGATTACACTATCTTAAATTTATTTGGTACAGATAAATTCCAAAGTAAAATATAAATTTATAAGTAAAATTGAATACATTCATCTTTATGAAAGAAAAATATAATCCTAAGCATCTTATTTAGTGAAAGTGGAATTATTAGATAACTCTCTTATTTAATAGAGTACTCTATTATTGTCTATTCTTTTCTTAACAAGAAAACTCTCTTTTGTAGATAGAGTCTTTCAATAGCTTTAGTCCTCAGAGTTGGGGATTTTCTTTTTTTTTTTTGTAAAGTAAATGTATTTGTATTGTGGAAGCTCTCTTGGCCCATTGGTTGACCAAGGGTTGATTAATGCTTCTACACCAAAAAGTCTGGGGTTCGAGTCCTAGGTATTGCGATTTATTAACAAATTTGCAGATTAATGGAGGCAAGTGTGCAAGAGATCTCCAGTGATGTACAATTATAGCCGTTCGCCAGGATTCTACGCAGAGAAGGAAGTGTCGCCAGGTCGTGGATCATTGAAGGTATTCATCAAGATTACGAAGAAGGAAGTGTAGTCTGTCGTGAATCTAGTAAGGGTCGTAAGGAATTGTCAGTGATAGAATCGTCTATGTAACAGTTCTCATAATTTGCAATTAATAATAAATCTAGACGACGAAAAAAAAAAAATGTATTTGTATCCAATCTTTTTAAAACCGGATTGGAACGTAAACCGGAAAGTGGTTCGAGTCACCGGATTGGTACATTCGATGGCCAGTCAATGAGTTTTTACCAGTCCAACCGGGCCATATAGGACCAGGTTTAGAAGCACTGCTCGTACCAAAGACATCTCACACAATGGTATGAAAGATACACAAAGAAATGTAATTTATTTTTACAAGATGTTAGATGATTATTGTACAACTCGATCTCCATCAGACCCCTAACCAAAAATTACAAAACAAATACCAGTTTTATCATAATACTAATCTTTGCACAACCTTTGCCTTTGCCTTTCTCTTCACCATCTTAGTAAATATATAGCTGTTGCCAACGGACTTTTCGGTGGGAATTTTCATCAAGTACTTAGAAGAAACCTTGTGTTGCATTTAGAGTGTTTGTATATATATGTTTTAGCCAACCGATTCTTGCTCTCAAAACAGAGCTTCCCTTGGTGCACCGATTAAGTTAAGTGCGGTTGCTGCGATGTGAGATGGCATGAGTCCAGCTTCAGCTAGTTGATCAGCTGGTGCACCGTGATCAATGTACCGATCAGGCAGTACCATTGGTCTCCACTGTATATAAAGTTGCAAATTAGAAACCATAGATTTCGAAAAGACAGCAATTTATTAGAGAATTTCTGGAAGTAGTAAGTAACCTTGAGTTTGCCATCGAGAAGACCATCGAGAGCAAGAAACTGAACAACATGCGATCCAAACCCTCCAATCGAACCTTCTTCAACCGTGATCAGAACCTCATGCGACTTAGCTAAGCTGCGAATGAGAGCACGGTCCAATGGCTTGCAAAATCGTGCATCTGCTACAGTTACGTTTAATCCGCGTTCTTCGAGCATTACAGCCGCTCCTAAACAGCTCTGAACTGCTGAGCCATAACCCAACAGCGCAACCCTCTCTCCTTCCTTTAAAATCCTACCTTTCCCAATCTGAAATACACCCAAAGAGATTTTCTATATCAAAATGATGAATGAAGAGAGACCTTGAGAGGATTAGTTTAAGTTATACCTCAACTGGAACACCTTTGTTTCCGGGAGGTAATGCAACTCCAATACCATTACCTCTAGGGTAACGGAAACAAGAAGGACGATCATCAATCGCAGCAGCAGTTGCAACCATGTTAAAGAGATCTGCTTCATCTGATGGAGCCATCACAATCATGTTAGGAAGACAAGCCATAAATGTCACATCAAAAGCTCCACAATGTGTCGGACCATCAGCTCCAACAAGTCCTGCTCTATCCATCGCAAATCTCACCGGTAATTTTTGCAAATCAACATCATGTACAACCTACAGAGAAGACTACCATATACTCTATTAGTTTCTAAAATGTTTCATTAGAAAGTAAAATGATTAAGATGTTGAACTTGCCTGGTCATAAGCACGCTGCATGAAGGACGAATAGATTGCACAGAAGGGCTTAAGGCCTTCACAGGCTAAACCCGCAGCAAAAGTAACTGCGTGTTGTTCCGCTATCCCGACATCGAAACATCTTGTTGGGAAGCGACGTTGAAATAGATTTAACCCGGTCCCACCTCCCATGGCTGCATGAATCGCAACCACATCTTTGTCTACCTCTGCTTCTGCCACTAATGCCTCCGCAAAGTAAGTTGTGTAAGATTGAGTCTTATTAGTACTTTTGAACTGTTTACCCGTCGCTGGATCGAATTTCACAACACCTGAAAGAAAAATAATCAATATTTATATATATATATATATATATATATATATATATATATCCCACTGCTTAGGAACTAAAGAAAATGTTATCTATTTAAGGAACTAATACCATGGTATTTGTCATCAGCTCTCTCAGCGTAAGGATAACCGCGACCTTTCTCCGTCACCACATGAATAAGTACCGGGCCTGTGGTTCTAGTACTCTTAACTTCTTTAAGAATGGCTACCAAATCATCTATGTTGTGCCCATCAACTGGACCAATATAGTAAAGACCAAGTTCTTCAAACAGCGACGATCCAGTCCCGCTTATCATTCCTCGGGCATACTCATCTACCTTAGCAGCCAATTGGTGCATTGGCCCGCCTATTTGCTTTGTCATACCCTATACTCAACAAAAGCTAAAATTCTTATCAACTCCATATAGACCAGGATTCTTTACCATCCTAGAAAATAATGCAATAAACTTGCCTTTGCGACTTCTCTCAACTCTCTGAGAGCCGGGTTAGACTGTAACCGACTAAGAGCACTGCTCAATGCTCCAACAGGTGGACTTGGTCCATCCAAAGTAGCAGTAGGTAATGAGACTTGCTTGTTGTCATTAAGAATCACAATCATATCAGAGTCAAGATAGCCTGCGTTGTTCATGGCTTCATAAGCCTGCCCTGCCGTCATCGCACCATCACCAATCACAGCAACCACATTGTTGTTCTTCCCCTTCAAATCCCGTCCCACCGCCATTCCTGTAAAGCAAAATTTCTGATTCAGTTTTGTAGTCTTATTACAGTTTACTGTCTAAACACAACAAGACAAGGAGAGACACCAAATGGATTGGGCGGACTACCTAAACCAGCAGATATTGTGGTTGAACTGTGTCCTGTACCAAAGCAATCATGTTCACTCTCTCCTCGCTTCGTGAAACCGGATAGACCATTGGTTTGCCTCATTGTAGGCATCTTTCCTCTTCTCCCAGTAAGAATCTTGTGAGGATAAGACTGATGACCAACATCCCAAAGAATCTTATCCTGTGGAGTATTGAATATGTAATGCAAAGCCACAGTAAGCTCCACAACACCAAGACTAGACCCCAAATGTCCACCGGTTTTCGACACATTAAAGATCACATCTGATCTCAGCTCATCAGAAAGTTGTTTCAGCTCCTGCAATAAGTTACCAAATGCCACCAATCCATCAATTTGAGACATTATTCTGTAAGAAAGCATCAAAGCTTGAATTTTTACCTTGACAGAAAGATTTTTCATGTGAATTGGGTAGTTAATAGTGTCAAGTAATGGAGTTGGTGGTCTGTTTGCATAATATTCACCCTTCTCTGCAAGTGAAGCATTCACTTTTGCTCTTCTGTTTGTCTGTACACAACACAAACCCAAATCACAACAAAAGCTGTCATTTTCTCTAATCAGTTCCCATAAATCAATATGATTGGACTAATTTCACTATATTTTCAACAAATTTCAATAAACTAACATATAAAAAGGATTCAAATTTGTTTGACTTTGTCAAAAACAAAGTAAACCCATTATTTAATTCAAGATTTCAACAAATGGGCAAGCTACAAAATCTCACAGTTCTTGAATCAAGTACCATCGATGAAGCAGAGAAGAGAGAAGTGAACTTACATGGGAATTGTTGTTGGGTCTGAGACATGGAGATGAAAGATCTGTAACCAAAGATCGAGAAGAAGACAAAGAAGTTGATTTACAAGAATCTGTTGAAACTCCTCCTTTGGTTATTATGTAAGAAGGAAAAGCAAATGCAGATGAAGCCATTTCAACTTTTTGAACCTCAGAAGAGAAAGTTGAAAACTTTGGGAATGTAAGTAAGTAATATAATGATTTATAGAGAATAAAATTTTAGGGAATTTGAGGTTATCAAAAACAGTGAAACAAATGAATAAAAACGCACTTTAGAATCCACTAAAAATGAAAGTGTGTGTTAAAATGTGGTGGTGACAATGGTGGTGGTGGTGGAGAGTTGAAGAAGCAAAGATGTAGACTTTTTTTTTTTTTTTTTTTTTTTTAAATGGGTGATGAAATAAAAAGACAAGAAAGATAACTTCATGGATCATGAATTTTATGTAACGGTGTTGATGATATTAAAAAAAAATGAGAAAAGCTTGAAAGATATTGAGATGGTTCGTCATCCGCAGAGAACTTGAGATTTTGGTTGGGCCACGTCAACTATGAAATCCAAGTTTTGGATAGATATTGATGATATATGTGAAGTACATGTGTATATTTGTTCTTTAATTCATTTATAAGTTCTTTAAAAGTATAGGAAAAAAGATAAATAAATAAAAAGAAATAAATAGGTTCACCCATTTTAATGTTTTCACTAGACAGATGTACCAGTCTACCAGAAGTGTTAAAAAAAAAAAGAGAGACAGATGTACCAGAGACTAGAAAGGTAACTATAATCATTTAAGGTAAAGAGAAATGAAATTTCAAAAGATTATTGAAGAATTGTAATTTGATAAAAAAATATTAAGAAAATAATCCTTAGAATCTTTGATAAACTTGGAAACGTATATTTCTATACAGAAAAAAATCATATTTGTTAATATATATATTAACATTATTTTTTAAAATTATATTAAGGAGTATATATTATATATATTAGATATAGACTCGTGCGTTGCACGGATTACCAGTCGAAATTATCATTTTTAATTTTTATTTTTGTAAGCTTAACTAAAATTATATTAAAATATGTTTTAATTTTAAAAATGTAATATTTTAATTATTTTTAAATATAGATTAATTATGCGTAATGTGCAATATAAAACACTTATTTGTAGTATTGTTTATTATATGTTACACTATGATATTTACTAAATATTCATATGTGTATTATTGAATTTTAATAAATTATCTACATCCATCGGAAGAGTGTATAACACTTTTCTAATTTCAATATGGGCAAGATGGAAACAAAATTGTGACAATATGATAATATCCACATCATGTAACTTTACTTGATAATATGAGAAATCCTCAATAAAAATTAGACAAATTTATAAAGAATTAGCAAATATGTACAAAATAACCTAAAACTAAAAAATAATTAATAAAATAATATTAACTAAACAATGTATGTTTGCTATATGGTTTTTGTCAAATTTTAGCACATATTACTCATAAGTTCTTCGTTGTCTTTTTTTTTTCTTTCCTCTCGCTGGCGAGAAGTCTCAAATCTCTCTTTTTCTTTCATTAGATTTTTCTTATTTTTGCTCGATATGCTCTTTTTGTTTCTTTCTTTCCCTTTCGCTGGATTTCTTCACCACCATATTTTTTTCTCTTTTTTCATATCACTATTTCTCTCATTCCTCGGGCATCACCACCGAGTCTCATTACTCTGATCCACCAGGCCACAACCACAACTGAATCTCACAACTATCACAATCATCATCACCATCAATACTAAATTACGCTAACTCCGACCCAACACCTTCACCAATATTTACCGCCACCACTACCGAGCTTGACCACCATCATCAACACCAACACCGCTGTTACCACATCTTCCCTATTTTTCCCAACTGTTCTTATTTCTCCACCTTCTTTATCTCTTCCGACATCGGGTCGAGCTTCTTCGACAACAACTCGATTTTATGTTCATCGCCGTTCGTAATTCTTAATTTGCCTCAATCGCCATATATTCTTAAATTGTCTATCTATCTATTTGTTTATCTATAGAGGTGAGTATTTAGAATCATTTTTCTTGTAGGATTAATAATTGATTATAATTTTTTTTTATCATCTTATACAATAAAATTTTATAATTTCATAAATCTTTTTTTTTAATTTTGAGGAAAAAGTAATTTTTTTCTTTTAGAATTAGTAGCTTTAAATTAGAATTAGTATATAATTTTTTAATTTCTATTTTTATTTAATAAGATAGTTTCCTTATAATTACTTTCTTTACTTTTAAAAAATCTGTTTTATTAGATATATATGTATAATTTCCTTATAAATTTTTTTCTAAACAAATATTTTTTTTTTGTTTTACACGTTGATAAATTTGACATGTGTGTATAGTTTCCTTATATGAAATAAAAGGAAATTTTTATTTTACACGTATCAAAGTCTAAGATCGATAGATTTTCCACGTGGCACGATCCTATGAGTTACTAACTTTAAAAACTATATTTTATATAATAAGATAAGATAAGATAGATATATTAACATTATTATTTTAAATTATAATTCATATTAAACGATTAGGAGCGATAATGAGTGTAATGATTTGTGTTAGTATTATTGCTCTTATTACATACTTTAATAAAGTTTAATATCATATTAAACAACTACATAGATTAATCTTACGATATTAATATGTCTATGATTTAAATTCTCCTTAATGTTTGACATCCTTGATTATTGGGTTTCAATTGAGTCAATATGAATAAACAAAACTTAGTTGATGATGACAATTACATCACACAAAAAAAAAAAAAAAAAAAAAAACTGTAATCATGCGGGTCATTTTCTAATATATCATATTGATTAAGAAAAATGGCATGTTATGTTTCTTCAAAATGTTATATTTCAGAAATGATATGTTAGTTTTAAGTTTTAACTAAGTTTTAAGGTGATTTTTTGATTATCAAGCTGGATATAATAACTAACTAACTCTTAAAGAGGTGATGGTTTTGGTCCGTGGATACTCAAAGAAATGCTAGTTGGATTTGGAAATTCATTTTGGGTGTGAGACCTATGTCAAAAGCTCGCTCTCATGGGTTGCCGTTTGCAACGGTCGTACAGCTAGCTTTTGGTTTGATAATCTGTCTCTTCTTGGGATCTTATGTGATATCTTTGGAAGCTCTAATTCGCGTCGTCTTGGCTTTCTCCTTAGTTCCACCTTAATTTCACTGTGGCAGATGTTTGTGGCAATTTTGGTTGGATCCTTCCCTCAGCTAGGTCAAAGAATTCAAATGTTATTGATATTAGGAACCAGTTGATTGCAACTGCTCCCCCTTGCTCCTCTAGGGGCCCTGGCTGTTACACTCGGGGTCTAGGCAGAGTCGGTCCTCCCTTAAAAATATATAGTTACGTTGTTATTCGGCTTTTTTCCACAAAATCTTTATTGGTTCTGGTGGTCAAAGCAACGCGATATAACTCGTAGTATCAAGGGTTCGATTCACATGTCCTCATTTTTCTTCTTTTCTAAATTTTTCTCCAAAAAAAAATATATAACAGCCCCAAAAAACAAGTGGGCTTGTAGCCCTAAAAGTTATAAAACCGGCTCTGGTTCTATGTAATCAAAGAAAAAAAAAATTCTCTACTAAATCCACTTGGAACTTCTTCAACCCTTCTTAAGACAAAATGTTTTGGTATTCGGCTGTGTGTTTCAAGAACATTGTGCCTAAGCAATCTTTCACTCTCTGGATTGCAACCCTTGATAGGCTTCATGTGCGGGCAGGACTTGCTAGTTGATAAACACAACTTCAACTATAACTTGCATGAAGAATACAGAGAACATTTACTCTTCCACTGCTCTTTTTCTGAACAGGTTTGGTTCCAAGTCCTCCATAGGCTCGGTCAACCCACTTGTCCTTTTGTTGATTGGTCTACTGCCATTACTTGGCTCCTGAGCAAATTGTAAGACCATGATTTGTACGATATGGCAAAATTGAATAATTGCAATAGATGATGATAAAAACCAGAAATAAAATACAACAACTGATACCAATATTTGATAAACAAAGAATGGTTTGTGAGGAGGCGAGACACTCTTTCTTTAATTCTTTAATTGCCCGTAGTGTGACGGTTTGACGCAATCAGAATCTCAAGATACAACCGCACCATCTTCTGATTTACAACACTCGAAATCATAAACATAACGAAGTCTAGTAATGTGTGTACTCTCAAACTCGATAACTAGAGAAGAGAAGAAGAAGGAGATTGTGATTTTTTTGATGTATATGTCCATGAGACAAAAATAGAGAGATGAAGCCTTGGTTTTATAGTCCAAACTCTCAACATTAGAAATCTATATATACATTTTTGCAACACTTTATGAAATAAATCCTCAAGTTGCAACTTATTTACAAAGAATGTCATTGGCATTAATTATTATCAATTAATTAAGATTCTTAATTACTAGCATTTCTTTATCTAATATATTTCCATCAATTCTAATTACTTAAGAAAAGGAGAAATCTTAGGACATTATTAATATTATACTTTATTTAAAGATAAATATTATAGTTATTTAATTTAAAGTTTATATAAACTTTTAGAATATTTAACGTTTAGAATATTTAACGTTTAATATATTAAACGTTTAGAATATTTAACGGAAAAAATGTTTAGAATATATATAATATATGAAATCTATAAAAATTACATAATCATTTGAAAGAAAACTTTAAATTGATTTGAATTATAAATGTTTTAATAAAAGTATTATTCAAACAAAAAATAATGTTTAATTACACCGAACAGAATTAGATGGTATGACGGATTTATAATATTATAATATATGAAAATTACAACAATTAAATAACCATTTGAAAGAAAACTTTTAAATTGATATGAATTATATATCTTTTAAATTAAAGTATTACTAAAACAAAAATAATAAAATAATGTTTAATTTCACTGAACGGGGTTATATGGTAGGACGGGTTTGGGTCGATAGTAATACGAGACGGTATACCACGGGTGAAATCCATTAGATATGTTTAATTTCACTGAACGGTATTAGATGGTAGGACAGGTTTGGGTCGATAGTAATACGAGACTGTATACTACGGGTGAAATCTTAGATATAACAATCAAAATACAATTATACTATCTTAAACACTAAACAAAACAAACAATTTTAACAAAATAAATATAATTTAAATTTAAATTATATAGTTATAATCTAGATTTTAACTTAATGAACTGTATGTTATTGTTTCTATATTTTTAAACAGTAAAAATTAAACATAGTAATTGTACACTAAAAATATATAGATATAAGAATTGTACATTTAAAAAATACAAAACATTAAATCATATATATTTTTAATCTATAAACAAACTAAATTTTTATTTTTAAAAAAAATTATAGTCCCGCGGTGTACCGCGGGTTATAATCTAGTAAAGAAGAGTAATGAGAATTCATTCTCAACATAAAAGTAATATTCTCAATGATAGTCATTGACTCCATTATTCTCATTAAT